GGTGCGCTACAGTGGAACTGTTAATCTTCTTTAGTTGGCCCCTCCCTTAACATGCTAAAATGTGTTCTCATTCACTTTTGGACAAACGCTGGCTCGTGCGACCAACATATCCTGTCGTACAGGAGCAGGTAAATGAACATATGCACATAGAGGTGGTCTGGGCTGGGCTGATCTCTCCATATAGGATGGGAGTAGTCGAGAATAGTTCATGGACATTGGCTGCTGGAAAGGTGGTTGTTACAGCTTGACTCAGGCACCTCCTTAGAAGTTCGCTTGCTCCATCCCCTTGAACTTGGAGACTGAAGAATATTTGCTTTTTCTTTGCTGTTAACACTGAGGCCTTTGGCGGCCTTTCCGTCGTGTTGTAGCGATAGATCGACTGGGATACCTATTTTTTTCAAAACATGCCTCCAAAAATCTTTAATTCCTCTTCGACGCTATCAATCGAGTAGATTCTTTTCGCCCTTTGCGTCAACCATCGCGCTAAATTACGTTTGAAGTTCAACGGTACGAAGCTAGCAAAGTGGATGTATCGCTCGGACCACGTCTTCTTAAGATATACCCTACGTTGTATACTGCCATCAGCCCTTTTTACTCCATAGTACATCAAGGAATGGGAGCGATCCAGATTGTTCTTCTAATATAAACTTTATAGACGGGTTCGCCCAATCTACCTCTCCTGACGTCCGCAGTTATTTTTCTACCAACACGCATAGTGTTTTTACTCAAATACGATATAAATGTAACGGCATGATCAGAATTTATCGAGAACAAACGTATGTTCGCCAAGTGATCTTCTGAATGACAAATAGATACTACTCCCTTCGGGATTGTCCCGGCCTTGTTTCTGATTGTTCGAATATTAAATTGAGGTTTTTGAGCTGGTTTGCACAAAGTAGCCTCTAGAGGCAGGTACTCTGTTGGCCAGACCAAATGTCCACGGACAGAGCATCTACTCCCGGTCTAAAAATTGCCTCAATAATGTGGCGTTTTACCAGCTACTGTTCCATGTGTGACAGTATAAGTCATTTAGTTGGTACGGCATTTGTAGTAGCTACCATTACTGGCGATGTGTTATTAAGCATAAAAAAGTTCTTGCGGAGGTCAGTACTACTTTTTAATTGTCCTTCTTTAAGTATTAAAACTTCCAAAAATGTCAACTTTTCACGTAGTCCTTTTTCGCAAATGAATCTGTTAGATAGTTTGATGGAAACAAACAGAGCATCGGCAGTCATATTACAAACCTTAGTAGTGCACCATCCGAGGCTCGAAATTGGACCTTTTGATCAGAAATCGAACGCTCTAGCAATTGAGCCACGAGCTTGTCATCTTGCCGGTTTAAATCGGCAGATATAAGCACTCTTTGATGAACGTTCACAGATCGCTAACGGAACTCACTCATCCGGTTGCGCCTTGGGACTCATTCTCGAGCCCTGCGAGCAGCCGTATATCGTTTAGCAGTCTAAGCAGATAATATTGCCAGGCTCCCTTTTCGTTGTCGACAATACTATCTGCACTGACTACTAGGTGCTTTGCGGCTATTGGCGGGGCTCTCGAATGAGTCCTAAGGCAGAATGGAAGAGAGTGAGTTCCGATAGCGATCCATGACAGCATAAACAGTAATATTCAGATCGACACGTGGAGCTTCGATGGCTATAGCTATAAATGGACTTTGCTATTGTCTTTGGACGAGAACCCGTAGGCAACTGGCCACACTTTTGAAATATAGTTCGGTTTCGACCGTCGGGAGACAGGTTAGTTTAACCCTTCTGATGGTTGAACTGTGTAAATAGTGAAGTACTATTTGGTCGTTGCAATGGTAATCCTGTTTAGTATGGGAGCAACCGCAAGTTCAGACATTTAGTACACGTGCCTGGTCGAGCGGTTATTGATGCAAATCAACCATCTGAGGGGTTAAGACTAAACACCTCTAAGTCTGAATCCCCTCCAGAAATGCGCAATGATACGGTTTGGCCTGTCATGTGGTTGGGCAGATATAGTACTTTCCGGCTAGGTTTTATTCGGATAGGGCCAGCGTGCTTCACCGAACCTGTCGGTCTGATAATGTTGGGCCAGAGCTGTGGCCATAACCCCATGCACCGGGCCATGGTGTTGTGGGGGCCGACACGATATCAAATTGTGGTGTGTAGACGACTTAATGTTTTGTTGGGGAGACGTGACTATTTGGGCCTCTATCACACTACGAGGTATTGAGTCCTGTCCGTACCCGATGCAAGGATTTGAGGCCTTGGAGCCTCATTCATACATTTACTGCTGTGTTCTTGTTGTAGAACTGTTATAGCCCAGTTATTTAGGCGTCGCCAGTTATAGCCCAGTTTATTCTGACCCGACTAGTAGGCAGAAGAAGGCAAGTGAGTGGTTCTGATAGCAAGCCTTTATTCTAGACGGTACAGAGACAACGGAATGGAATTAGTGTGTCCACCACAGCCTATTATAAGGCTTTGGTCCTTCTAGACTAATCCTGACCAATCGCATGCGAGGGGGGATTCTGACGTGCATGCTGATTCGCGGTTTCTCCACGCTGCGAGGCGTTTCTAGGACATCTGCAGTGCACGTGTGCGCGGGCGTCACGTGTGCTCGGGGAGTGCGCGGCCGGCCTGCGGCCATGACTCAAATAGCGTACACTTCTCGTCTCCATAACAAGACATATAGTAGAGCACTCAAGTGAGGTTCTGACTAGTTGGTAATATAACGGCGGACAAACACAAATACGGATATCTGTATGTGTTGTAGAAATTCGCCCTTCTGCATTTACTATTAACTCATCGCGCATTCCAATATCTAGCTAAAATTAAGCGCATAGTGACAATGGCCAGATATACCATTTTCTAGGTCTTCATTTCAAACTGAGGATATTCGTAAGTCAGTAACAGTCAGAAATTGCGACTCCCAAGAAGTACTTGGGAAGAAATAGACCTGATCGCTCAGGCGAGAGCTTTATTCGATCAGATTTTCGGATTCTAACTCAAAACTAGCTTCAGAGACAACATCGAATGTTACTTCATGCACAGGAGTCGCAGTATTCATAGGATAAAATCGTTTGGCTGTGACTATTAACGGTCCGTTACTCTAACCCGCGATCATTACCAGCGACAATAATTGATGCACAAAATGATTTGGCGTGAATATAAGTCTGGTCCTTGCCTCGATTTGAGCCTAGGTGTACTCGTTAGCAGAAGAGGCGCAGTAACTCATTCTCCTAGCTCGAGGATACTCTGCCGATTATTAATCGTTGCGGGCAAATGCGCGTTGAGACGGCACGTTCATCTTACAGTTAGTTCCTCGCTCCAAGCGTTGCCTTTTCCGTCCTGCATTCGTCTTCCTCCTCCTCTAGGCAAGACGTACGAACGCGTTTGCTTCTTGCCTTTACCAGAACCGATTGCCATTACACGCACGCGTGTAATTGCAAACGGCATGCGCCCGCCTGTGGCGAGCTTGCTGATTGGCCGACCGCGCAATTGACTTTGTCGGCTGGTGATTGGTTCAGGTCGGGGTGACAACTGCCAATGGGCAGGGCGAGAGTTGTGGTTCTTGTTGCTGACCGGTATCCCAGCTGCTCACACAGCGAGTAAATTCGTTCGTCAATTGGTTTCGCTACCTGGCGAAGGGGGAGGCGGAAGCCGTTCATTTGCTGCCAATTTTCCTGTTTGTGATTATGCACGATTTTAGTGATGTCGAGTTATGCGGACTTTGCAGTGCCGAAGCGTGTCCGGCTTGAAATCAGATTGTGATCCGTAACTTAGGAACAAGCAGGTTTCTACTCTGCCTTAAGTCTTAGGAATTGATTGCTCCCGTAAAATTCTGAAATATGTAAAAATCGATCCGGAAATATTCCGGAATTTTTAAAGCTTTCTTAACTACCATTGAGCACAATGAAGGAATAAGATTCTTACAAGGATAAAAATATTCATTCGTAAATACCGGTTGAGATGAACTTTAGACCTCTTGTGGTCCCCTAGATATCGATTTTTTTCTTTATCTGCTTAGACATTT